GCATTCCCTAGAGCTGTGGCAGTTACCAGAGAGTCCAAAACCTTGCTTTCAATTTTCATATCAAAAGACCAAAGTGAGAGCTAAGTATTTGTTATTTATTTATTTACGTATGTTCTTGGTGTGTCAGAGTTTTGCACATTCTAAGGAAATTATTTACTGCTGAGTCCAATCTTGGGCCTAAGAGTTACCATTCAAATACTGCTCTGTATTCCATTATAATCTCTCTATAGATGATAGATAGATAGATAGACAGATAAATAGACAGATAGATATAGATATCTATGTATCTGTGTGTGTGTGTGTGTGTGTGTGTGTGTGTGTGTGTGTGTGTGTGTATTTATACAGAGAGAGACAGACAGACAGGCAGAGAGAGGCAAACTACTGTTATTATCCCCAGGCCAAGTAGATCATCCCATTGCTGGATGAGGAGGCTGAGGCAAAGAGAGCAGGTCTTTGCTGAGGTTTAACTCAAGCAGCAAGCAAGTTGGATTCTGATAATGCTGCTCCCCTGGTGCTGATGTGGAACTATAATTCCACTGCTGAGTCACAGCTGCTATCTACCCTGGATACACAGAGTTTCTATGAATTTGAAATGAATTGTGACAAATTCATTAGCGTTTATGGCTCTGAGTGTGCACCATAGATGCATTTGTGGCTGCATGATCTCAAAAGGGCTTTGCTCATTTTCTCTCTTCTCTTACATATCTTCCCTCTGATTCTTACAGACTGCTCCCCACATCATCTTAAGGGTCTGAGAAGAAGAAGTCTATCATCTCATTGGTCCCAAAGCCTGCTCAAATCGAAGTCCAATTCTTGTGTCCACTTTCTCAGAGAATTGCATTTAGCAAGTTGACTGACTTTACTGGCAAAGCAGATTTGGCTTCAACTCAGTTAAGATTACTTTCACAGTATTTTCTTCCAATTTATTAAGCAATTATGTGCCCAAGAGCATTATAGCAAAATGATTTTGCAGTATAGTACTTTTGAAGAACATGAAATAACGAAATAACTTATTTGAGTCTTTTGAATTCATAAGTATTTTACAGATTTTGCTCTCTATCATTTCTATCCTGAAACTG